CAGGGAGTAGCAGAGAGAGAGAGATGTCTTCCACCTCCAAGGAGGAAGTCCCAGATTTCCCAGAATTCTCAGGAGAAGGCCATGCCAACACAGAAGTCTCATTGGCTATCTCCAGATTGACAGCCTAGACTCCACCCCTTACACTCTTAATCCTTCAAATGACACCAGATTAGGTGACTGCCACATTGGTCCACTTGGCAGCATTGTCACTTTCTCGATATGGAGGTGGAACCAGAAGACGGGTCCTTCCGGTGGCAGGACACTCAGAACCTGATTGAGGAGCAACTGTCTCCTCAGAGAGGGGCCAGCCTTCCTGGCCATGTGGGTGGAGCAAAGCTTTCGGAACCTTCATTTGCCGACTCAGGACCAGTGGGCATTGAAACATAGAATGTACAACGGACGGATCTGAAAACAATTGGAGGGGGGTGGGAGAAGAGGAGCTGAGACCAAGGGCTCTAGCAGAAAGGAAGCATTTGGGAAATGTTGATGGCGACATATGTGCAAGTGTGCTTAACATCATTGAACGATGGATTGTTATGCGATTTGTAAGAGCCCCTCAATAAAATGATGAATAAAAATAAAAGAGTCGGAAGTTGTCAAAACTGAAATGGAACGCAATGAAGATGGTAGCTCAGGCATTAGGGAGCTGATAGTCCGTTGCCACGGCTACACAGAACTCACAGGCAACACTCACAATGAAGGGGGTTTATCGGGAGTTCATAGGTTACCATGAATCAGGACCAGGAAACAGGCGGGATACAAGTCTGGTCCACAATAGCACCTCTCCTCAGCCAGTAGCTGCGTCTCCTTCTGGACTTCAGCCTCTCAGCCATGTGGTCCCTTGGCCTCTGCCTCATGGGCCAGGAAGCCCACCTGTCGCTCTGTGTCAAGTCCCTCTGTCTGGGCGCTGCTCCTCGGGCAAGGTCCCATGGTCTCCAAGCCAGTCTCTGATGCCCCTGGCCATGGGCTCTGCCACTTCCGACAGAGGTCTGAGCTGTTCTCTGCCGATGGTTCGGGGTTTTCGCTCTGAGTCTGAAAACACTCTCGTACACTCGGGAATGGCTTTGATGGAGGTGAGGCTTTGGACCCTTGGCAGGTCATGTCCCCAAGGAGACAAAGGGTGTGTGACGTGGTTCCCACCCTCTTCTAAGGTCCGGATTCAATCCCACCTTCATCCTGTCCACCGGTGGAGCAGAGAACTCCTCCCCAGTGGGGTCCTAGCCGCAGGCATGGGGTCTAGAGCTGTGACACATCACATAGGGAATTCTGGCTGCAGGCGCCACGATCGTTGGCTGGGTCTCTCAGGTCTGCACCGCAGAAAGCTCTGGAACGGGTCTGACCAGGCGGTAGGCTTGGGGGTTAGGGAAGATAATATTCTACCTGGTTAGCGGAGGGAGGGATGGAAAAGAGGGGTCCCCGGCACGCGCATCTCTCTGTACACTGTCCCAGCACTGTATTCATCCTTCCTCTGGCAGCCGGGAGAGGATGGACCAGGGTCCTTGCTGTGACATGGGGAACGGGTGTGTGTGCTGAGTTGGTGACAGTTTTACTGAGGAACCAGGTGCTGAGGGAGACCGGTGGGGGTGGGGCTATCTACTCTTTTTTTTTTT